TTTACATGTTTAATTGCCTCATATGGTATAAAATTATTTCAATTAGGTTAAAAAAAAATTGATATAGAAGCCATGAAGCAGACACCTTTTTTTGGCAAAAAAAAAAAAAAAGGAAAGCAGACAATTTTTATGTTTGCATGATGATTATAAAATCTTAGCTTTAAGACAAAAACGACCAATTCTTAATGGCATTATTCATAAGTGGTCTGTGGTCCTACATAAAATTAGCAATTGTTTTCTCAATCAACATCATCAGCTAAACCGGAACTTTAGGCATCATCTATTTGATCCTCTCATTTTATTTGATTTGGTTGGAGAGCACATTCCATAGTCATCTTCCTTATCCAGATTGACTTTGAATGATTTAAATTTAATTTAATTTTTTTATATTTTAAATAATATTTTGGTAGATATAAAATTCAAAATAAAAATAATTTTATAACAAACACTTCTTAAAAAAATAAATTTATTATTAAAAAATTACATATTAAAAATTTTAAATATGGATCATTTCGTTTAAATTTTGAATGGTTTCAAATTTTATCATAGCACTGAATACAGAGCACTGAATAAGGACCCAATTTGTTGACTTTAGTTTTGATTTGAATTTTTTGATATATTTATGTGCTTGCATGTTTAATTGTATTAAATGGAAAAAAAAAAGGTGAGAGTCTTTTTTTTTTTTTAGTGAAAAAAAGGTGAGACTTCAAGTCTGGTTAAAAAAGACAAAAAAGAGACTTGGGAGGACTGGGCCGTAAGATTGTGTTACTGGAAGCCCAGTTTAAGCCCAACAATTTAAAGCCCGAGGATAGGCCCTTCACCTTTTTTTCAAACTTGTTGTGGGTAAGGGCTAAGTTGTACTATTGAGTACTGATATCTAGTCTCACTTGAGCTTATTCTCGTTGTTAATCCATTTTGGACCCAAGCCGAAAATGTTTACCGTCTACATTAAACTCTCTTTACGCTGGTGTAATACAGAGGTAATACTGTTTCTGGTCTTTAATATAAGATTTTGTTTAACTTTTATTTTAATCCTCAATATAAGACCTCAAGCCATCTTGTTTCGCATATTTATACATTTTTTTAAAAATAGTCCTTCTAACAATAATAATTCTAATCAACATACTTAATTAGCAAGGATATTTCAAGAAAGACAACACTTATTTATTACAAATGACTAACTTAACTTCTTTCCTTAATTTTTTCAAATTAGTCAACTGTTTCTTATAATTAAGACCAGAAGTAGTACTTCCTTCCATTCAGAATGTAAGTTTTATTAATGATATGGATTCTTATAAATAAATCATACTATTTTCAGCATTTAATATAAGAACTACTTTGACATTTAATTTAATTTTAAATATAACATAACAATCCACTTTGCCTCTTGTATTTATCTATTTTTTTCCCCAAAGTAGTTCTTGTAACAGAGGCACATGTTAAAAATTTAATTAAATAGTAGTTCTAGTTAATTAGTATGATTAGTTAGGGCATTTTAGGAAAAACAGTAGCTATTTATTATAAATAACTAACTTAACTAATTTTTTTTAGTTAACTAACTTTTATACCATGCAGTATTATTTATGAATTATGAATAAAATGGTTTACAAAAATTTTAATATTTTGTATGGTTATTGATGGTTCCCACAAAATGCGTAACAAAATTGCGGCCATGAGCAATTGCCCGTTCACCCAGGAAAAAAAAAACTTTGTTTGGATTATTTTTCTTTAGGAAAATACATTCCTCTTGGCTTCGGGTTATTTGGTATGGGACCAGGTTCATTAATTTTGGAAGTCGCCGTAAATTTTTAAATATTATTGTCCTTGGCCAACAAATTTTTAAATATTATAATGAATACTTTGATGCAGAAATTGTCCGATAAAATAATTGATTCCGTACGTTTTTATAAAAGATGCTTGGTCGAAATAATTCACTATAATCATGGCATATAATATTTTATAAATATGTGCTTTTTTCACCAATATATACTTTAAAAGTTATTTTTTTCAATATTTTTAATGAAAACAATTTGGAATACTTTTTTTTTTTCCAAAGACAAGGACAACTTGAAAATAAAAAACTACTCTAAGTCTTTCCTCATCTGAGCGTCACACTCAGGAGGTGGGTTCTGTAGAATAAACAAGTCTTGAGTATGATGATGAGCTAATCTAGCTAAAATATCTGCACACTTGATGGTTGACCGAGGTGCATAACCGATGATGAGATCCCATTCTGAGAAGATCAAATTTCTTAGCTCCGCCACTGTAGGTTGCAAAGGATGGTGTAGACCGCCGTCTCTTGTGATGAGATGGAAGGCTTCTAGCGAGTCTGTATATGCATGAATCTGTCTGAATCCATATTGTTTGCAAATCTGCAGTCCTGTCAACAAAGCATTTAGTTCCGCTGCAGTGGATGGCATGAAACCCATCTGTTGCTTGAATCCCACGATCCATTCTCCCGTCGAGTTTCGAACCAAACCTCCACCTGCTACTAGGTGCTGAGTATTAACTGACCCATCAGTGTCGAGTCTAACATAATTCTCCGGAGGCCGACTCCACCCATCGTCCATCATGTTTAGTGACCCAAAGAGACGGTGTTTGAATTCTCCTTGCTCCGTGTGTTCCATGAGTTGATGAAGCCCCACATGTATTACCTCATTTGGTTGACACCTGACTCCCTCCAGAACTCCTTTGCATCTGTTTTTCCATAGTAGCCAGCAAACGATGGCAAATACTCTGGTCCAAGGCCATCTATCAAAACTCCTAGTTCCCATGTCTCTGGAAAAATTCGTCTTCAGCCAATCCTGCAAATTTGAACGAAAAAATTGAAATAGACAGTTAGGATGAATAATATTAGTCCACACTATTCTCGCAGTCTCACAGTCTCTCAGTAAGTGTATAGTGTTTTCCTCTCTTAAGCACTCAAAGGGGCACTCCTCACTGGTAATGATTCCTCTCTTAGCTCTGAGTGAATCTGTTGGCAATCTGTCATGGATAACTTGCCAAAGGAAGAATTTGATTTTTTCAAGCACCGCAAGTTTCCAGATCTTCCTCCATATCCCTGCACTTGGTTGTCTGCTTTCCTCAAACACCATTCTGTAGGCTTGTCTAACACTGAAATTCCCATCTGTTGACCTTCTCCACCAGAAACAGTCCTCTTGTTGTTCTGTCGGGGGTCTAGTCTTCCTAATTACTTCAACTATGCCTTGCGGGAGATATTGGAGCATTTCCTGAGCGTTCCAGTCACCATTGCTCATAATGAAGTCTTTGACTTTGGCTTGGGACTTGATCTTGTGGAGATTCCTTTCCACATAGTATATTAGTGGTTCTTCTAAAGGGGTCCAGATGTCCCACCAAAAGTTGGTTTGTCCACCACTATTAACCTTACGACCCACCGCCTGGTAAAACTGTTGCCAAACGGCTACTATGCTCCTCCACACCCACGAGGAATTAGCCTTTTTCAAGACTATAGGATGAATCCCGTTGCCGCATCCATACTTGTTTTTTAGGCACTGCACCCACAGAGCTTCCGGTTCGTGAGTAGACCCCAACACAACTTCATGATGAAAGCAATATTTTGGCACTGAAGATCTTTAATGCCCAGACCTCCCGCTCTTCTGGTTTGTTTAATTTGATTCCATGAAATTAAGTGCATTTTCCTCCCATCTTGCTTTTGATTCCACAGGAAATTTCGGCTGCACTTTTCAATATCTTTGAGGACACCTTTTGGTATTAGCATAGTTTGCATCTGATAGGTTGGTATAGCCAACAACACAGATTTAATCAGCGTAGTCCTACCTGCCATGGTGAGAAAGCAGCTCTTCCAATTTGAGAGTTTTCTTTGAACACGTTGAAGCATAGGAGAGAAAGTCGCCTTTGTAACCCTTCTATGCAATAAAGGTACTCCAAGATATTTCCCTAAGTCAGCCATTATGCCAACACCCAGATCACGACTCAGTTCCACAGCTCTATTAAAACACATATTACTCGAGAAGAAAACCTTGGATTTTGCTGGATTGACTCTGTGTCCCGACACCTCACAGAAAGTTGCCATGGTATCCCTCATTACTTCAACCTGGTCTCTGGAGGCTTCTGCAAAAAGAAGGAGGTCATCTGCAAAGAAGAGATGTGATATTGTTGGACCGTTTCTTTTCATTCTTATCCCTTTCCACCTTCCTCTATTCACTTCATAAGTGATTAGTTGTCCTAAGCGCTCCATGCATAGAACGAACAAGTATGGGCTTAGTGGGTCACCTTGTCTTATTCCTCGGGAGGGGGAAAAGGGATTGGATTCTTCTCCATTCCAAAGAACTTTCATAGATGTTGAAGAGGTACATGTAATGATGAGGTTCACTATATTTCTTTCCATCCCCACACTACGCAAAGTCTCTTCCAAGAAATCCCAATCTAATATGTCATACGCCTTTTCCATGTCGACTTTAATGGCCACAAAACCTTTGCTTCCCTTTTTCGATCTCATGGAATGAATGACTTCTTGAGCAATTACTATGTTATCTGTGCTTTGTCTTCCTGTAATAAAACTACATTGTTGTTGCTAGACCATATAGTTCATGATACCCTTCAAGCGGTTTGCAATGTTTTAGTTAGGATTTTGAAGATGACGTTGCATAGAGATATCAGCCTAGAGTCCCTTAGGCAAGTAGGATGGTCAACCTTGGGGATAAGCACAATGTTTGTATTATTTACCTCTCTTATCCGCTGGGGGTGTTTCCATGCATCCATAACAAATTTACAGACTTTAGAACCTACATGTTGCCATTGTGTATGAAAGAAATGCGCTTGAAGTCCATCCGGTCCTGGGGCTTTAAATGCGCCCATCAGGAAAGCAGTATTCTTTATTTCCACCTCGGTTACTGTCTGGTGTATACTTTCCTAGTTAGTTGGTGCAATTTGGGGGAAAGCCGTAGGCCAATCAAACCTCCCTGTCATAGTATGATCTTTGGAGTACAAGGTTGCAAAAAATTCCCTTGCCATTTGTTTCAGCTTCTCCTTGTCCGAGATCCAGTTCCCATAATCATCTTGAAGCGCTTCAATTCGTTGTCTTCTGTGCTGTATCGTAGTGGAAGCATGGAAGAATTTGGTGTTCCGGTCTCCCCATTGCAACCATTTACATCTTGATTTTTGGAACCATATGAGCTCTTATTGCACTACCAGTTTACTATGTTCTCTCCACAATTTCTGTTCTAGTTTGAATAGCCCATTAGTCACACTATTCTGTCTAACTCTGTCAATTCCTTCCAGACGATGAATCACCTGTTTCTTCTTCTTCATGATGTTACCAACAACAGTGTCATTCCAACTCAGAGCTGCCTTTTCAAACTTCCTTGCCCCCTCACACCATTCCACGTTATCCCATGAAGAATAGACCACCTCCTTAAAGCTTTCTTCCAAGGACCAAGCTGACTGGTACCTAAATAGTCTTTTTGAATACTTCCCTTGAGGTGTTCTTTGCCCGTCGTTAACAACAATGATCCTGTGGTCAGACTTGTATTTAAGGTTATGACTGACTTTGCTTTGTGGATGTTCTGTTTCCCACTTTAGATTGCCAAAAGTCCAGTCTAGTCTTGACTCCTTTCTTCTCCTACGTGAATTTTTCCCCTTCTATTGGCAAAGCAAACAATTCAACTTCTCTAATACAATCCGCAAAATTTTCCATAGCTCCATGGTTCGCAAGGGATCCTCCCATCTTGTCAGTTGTGTCAAGGAAGGTGTTGAAATCACCAATTACCAGCCACGCCTCCTCTGTAGCTTCCGCTATTGCCTTAAGAGAGAGCCAAAGTGGTATTCTTTTCTGGGGGGAGGTTTCGCCATAAACAAAGGTAGCAAAGAAAGATTCATTATGCTTCACATCGACTATCTTGCAGTGAATGATTTGAGTGGAGGAACAAATATAATCCACATGCATTGAGTCTTCGTTCCATAGGACCCAAATGCCTCTAGCAAATCCTGAGGCTTCTAATCTAATCCAATTACTGAACCCGAGTTTTCTAATTACCCCATCAGCTCTAGTGCCACTAATTCGAGTTTCCATTAGGCAAAGGACGTCAATTTGCAACTTATAAACAATGTCTTTGACGGTGCGGGGAAAGCAACGATTCCCTGCCCCTCTACAATTCCATGAAGCTACTATCATAGGTAACTGACAAAGGGAGGAAAAAGGTGGCTTACTCGACCGAAGGATCATCATCCATCCAGGTGGGATTAATTGTCTCCTGAAGTATCTTGCGGACTATTGGTGATTCCCCCACGATCATGTTCTCATTGATGTTTTCCTCTTCTATTATTCTGTCCCCTTTTGAGTATTCTCTGTGGTCCCCTTCGACATCCACCTTGGACCCTTCTATAGCATTTAGACTCCTCCCCCCAGTTGTCCCTTCGAGTAGAAGAATTTTATTTCCATTGGGCTGGGCGTTCGGATTTGGGTTCATCACAGACGAGCCCACCTGCTTTATAGACCCACTAACGATAATGTGTTCCCTTTGGTCCATTCTATTAGTAGTTACCGCCACTTGTTGTTTCTTAGTCTTCTCTGGCTCTGTGTTCCCTGCCATGTTTTCATTTGCCAGGCCTTGGTTCCCAATCTTCAGCCCATTAGCTTTTGGTTTATAGTTCTCCTTTCCCTTAGCTGTCGAGGGAGTTGTCATTTTTTGTATCTCTCTCCTACTTTGAAGTGGTTATGGAATGAGGTTTTTCACTTGACCAAAAAAAAAAAAACAAAAAGAGAGTATTACGTACTATTCCTGTTAGAGCATTGTAAGTGTCAAATCAACCATGAGGCTTAAATTAAATATCTTCTATGCGTTCTCTTGATCCATATATTCAACTTAATTAATTAGTTTGAATAAATTACATACATTAGTTAAATTAATTAATATAATATATTTTAAAAATATTCTAAACATTTTTTTAGTTCCCTCCATCTCTCTCCTAATTAATTATTATAAAAAAATATTAAAAAAATAATAAACATGTAAATAAGTCTCATATATATGGAAAAATTACAAATAAGACCCATTAAATATATAAAATTACAATTTGGGGTCCTAAATTTAGAAAATAGCAAATAAGGACCTGGTCCTACTTTTGCAAATATAAAATGTAAGTGAAATGTCTAAAATACCCCTCAATCAAATTATAATTTGGTCTATTAAAATTGTCATTCGTTAAAGTGAATTTGTCATTTCTTATAGTTAATTTGTCATTTGGCATACCTTCAGCTAAGTTGTGATTTAGTCTACCGAAATTGTCGTTTGCTAAAGTGAACTTGTAATTTTTCATAGTCAATTTGTCATTTGGCTGAGGGGTATTTCAGACATTTTACTCATATTTCATATTTACAAAAGTAGGACCCGGTCCTCATTTACTATTTTTCAAATTTAGAATCCCAAATCATAATTTTACATATTCAGAGGTTTTTATTTGTAATTTTCCCTATATATATAAAACTAACGTTCATTTTTTAATTAGGTGCTACCATAGAAGTACTTTTCATTAACTAGATTAAGTATTTGTTGGCTAACAAAACTATATGTACTAGTACCGATTTTTAATATAAGATCCTATTTGATTTTTATTTTGATCTTAAATATAAGACCCTAATTTATTTTCTCTCTCATATTTATATATATTTTTTCAAAGTAGCCCTTCTAAGAATGATAGTTCTAGTCAATATACTTGATTAGCAAGGATATTTTAGGAAAGACAATACCTCTTTGTGACAAATAACTAACTCAACTTACTTTCTTAATCTCTTCAAATTAGTCAACTGGTTTTTATAATTAGGATTGGAGGTAATATTTATTAAATATTTTATATATAATATAAAATTTTAACAAACGGTTTTATTATAAATTGTGAGCCTCATTGTTTTATGCGGGGCGGACCCACAATACTTCAATTTAAGTCTTTTCTTTTTTTGGTCAGAATACTTCAATATAAGTCTAAATTAAGTCTATAGACTATAAAGTCATCTTAGCTTCAATAAAAGTCTATAAAGTAATCACAATCTATTGCAGATTTTTTTTTTTTAAAAAAAAAGAGTAATCACAGACCATGATGACAGAAGAAAATGGAAACTCTCGTAATCTTGTGTTTTTTTTTTTTTTTTAAATCTAATAATGGCTGCTTCCCAAAAATTTAGTTCCCTTGCTGGGAAATGGCGGTGAATGATCTGAAACCCACAATCGTTGTGATTTAGCTTCTGGCTTCTTGGTAAGGTAAAGTCCCTCTGTATTGTTTCGTGAGGCTGATTGTTCCAAATCCTTCTTCAATTTTCAAGTCCTATGCTTCTTCATAACTTTGTTTTTCTTTGCTCAATCTTTTTGATCAAGTTGATTGTCCAATGCCAGATCCTGCTTTGAATTTTGAGTTTCTAGGGCTTCTTATCTTGCTTGATATGCCCACCATTGCGACTTTGAGATTTCCATACAAGAATTTTAGGAAAACAAAGTGGCTGAGACTCTGATCCTCACCTGATCTTACTTAGCCCCCGCTTGCTTTGCTTCAGTTTCACAATTAAGCAACTATTTCAGCTTTCCTTTTTTTCTTCTACTTTTTGGGTACCAACCAAAATAGAATTTAGATTTTGTTGTATGCAAGTCGGTGCTTGATAATGATATGCCTAATTTTTTTTCCCCTAATGTTTTCACAGGCTGGGCTTCTTCGCAAAGAGTATGGGTTTTTGACTCTGAGCATATAGTTGAAGGATTCTGAAGGAGGTGAAGAAATTTCTCACGATGCGGTTGTTCCCCTTGAGCTCTAGCTCTAGCACGAATTTGAGCTCGGAGAGGGAGCAAAATAGTGAGAAAAAGAGTCGTACTGTGGTTTATCTCAATGTATATGACCTTACGCCTATAAACAATTATCTTTACTTGTTCGGGCTTGGAATCTTTCATTCGGGTATAGAAGGTATGACGTTTTCATGATTCTCTTGATATGTGTCATCTTCATACTTTTATGACGTTTACATGATTCTCTTGATATGTGCCAGCTTCATACTTTCTCATCTGTGAAATTTAGCTGCGTTGTAAGATCATTATTTTATACTCACAGCACATTACTAAGATATAATGGTGTGTTATTTGCTTGTTAAAAAGAAAATGAAATGAAAAATACTGAAATAGTAGTTGAATTGAAAGGTCTTACTTTCTCATGCGTAATGGAAATTTCGATATAGAAATCCAGTCAAGAAGTGCGGTTTGAAAATGTTGAATGCAGTTGAGGTTAAGCTGCCATTACTTTGGTTTATCATCTCATCGTGTTATAGAAATTCGACAGTAATCCACCATAATAATGTTGGATGATGAGTCCACAGGCACAAAAAGAATTCTAGGTGTTCTGCATGAATCACTCAGTGCAATTATGCTTTATTAACTCTCCAGATATATTATTTATGATAAGATCTCATTCAATAACTTCTGAGTGTCTTTCATGGTATGTACATTTTTTCAGAGGTTTAAAGGCCATCCACTCTGCTTTCTTTGTTAGCGCCTTTAGTGGCTTATTTTGAGCATGTCTAGACTACCTTAATTGATATTATATTATTCCTTTTCTTTGATAGATACCATAGCAACTTTTGTTTGTGTACAATCATTACGGATGTTGTCTTTTGTGTATGGCCACACATTTATTTTAACATTCCCATCTTAGCTACACCTTTTGCTTTCTCTTGTCCTTGCAACGCCCGATATTCACTACTTCCCATATTCACCATAGCAACTCTTGTTCGCCTCACATTTAATTTTCTAGCATGTTTTATCATAGTTCTTGAACACTCGGAGAACTTCACCTTTCCATTTGCTTTTAACTGCTTCCATCGCATTATGTACATTGTTACATATGAAATTTCATAACTTTTACATCAAGAACATACATGATATTTATGACTACTGACTTTGCTGTTATCTCAGGCATGCTCATCTGGGATTTGATTGAACATATCTTTCCTTATGGTTCAATTGGGAATTTAGGAGATGACTTGCTATTGTTTTAAATTTGTGACTTTCCATTTGAATTAATTTTTTGTTTCATTTGCCAAGTGGATCAAAGTTTTTTTGGGGGCCTAATTGATATTCGTTTAAAAAAAAAAAAAAAGAATCTGATTTAGATATTTGAGTTTTCTGTTCAAGGAAGAAGTCGTGATGGTTCTTTTTTCCAATAACCAATTGCATCACTGTGACTTCACTCTGTTTGCTTGGTTGAACCTTTTCAAGATCTTTTCAGTATCTCTATATGTTCTTTTGATTTTCTGCTGTGTAGAAAGAGATTTTGATGATAGGGAAAATTACAATCTGGTCCCTAGAAAGGGAAATTATCCCAAGTTTATCGACAACTGAAGAACATGCAATGATAAGTTTCAGAGTAGGAAATGATAACAGATTCATGCTAGTCACTTGTCATTTGGATTCTTGGTAATTAAATTCCTTTCTTGGGACTTTATGGTAATTCTCCTTTGATGATATGATAGAGATTTGCTGAATCTTGAGATTATATTCATAGTATGATTCCATCATAACTTTGTGATTGATATAGTATCTTAACAGTACATCAATGCAAGCATTCAAGGTAAATTGACTTTGTGAACCTTAAAATTTTGATCTGTCCATTGGTTTTCTTGTCAAAGTTTGTAAATGAGAATCCCATCTGCCTGCATTGAGCTCATACAGTGTCAAATAGAGATTTGGACAAACCGCAAATGATGTATTAAAATTGTAGTGTCCCTGACCCCTATCACAACATATGGTCAGTAGGGGAAACTTGGATGACCATTTAAAGTATAATTAATGAAGGGAGTATTCCTTTTTGGCCGGTATCTTATTCACCTCACCACTAAACATCCTGTTTCTATTCAAGTTTTCGTTCATATTTCAGTGCAACGATTTTGGAATGTTCCAAGTTACTCTATCCAACAACAGAGTAGATGATAGCGAGAAAAGCTGTTTAATAAAGGAGTAGAACTATGTCCCTTGAACAAATTATTGACAAGGAGCTTAGATGCGCTAGTTTGTCATTTTAACTTTAATTAATTTTAACAAACATATAGCTTGATGTTTTCCTGGGCAGCGCATGGTATGGAATATGGCTTTGGTGCACATGAGTATCCATCAAGTGGAGTGTTTGAGGTTGAACCTAGAAGCTGCCCTGGCTTTATCTTTAGACGATCAGTGTTGCTAGGCAGCACTGACTTGTCTCGTACAGAATTTCGTTGCTTCATTGAGCGCCTCTCTTCTAATTATCATGGAGATACTTACCATCTGATCGCCAAGAATTGCAACCATTTTACAGATGAAGTCTGTCAGCGGCTAACTGGGAAATCTATCCCTGGATGGGTAAATCGGATGGCTCGTGTAGGTGAGGACTGAGGACTGAGGACTGTGGTTGCTTACCTTACCATCCATTTTCATGCATATATGCATCCGCAATAAGCATTTGTTTGTGTCGCCAATCGTTGCATATGGTCTAAATTTTGAATCAGATTCTGCTATGTTCCCAGCTAACTAGAGTTTCAGATTAGTGGAGTTGATTATACAAGCGTTTTTGGGCCATCACCAAGCAATTGCTTATGATAGGCTGGATTTTTGAATTTCTGTGAACCTAGTGATTCCAGATGCTACTATTTTTGTCATCTGATGATATATAGTTTAAACTTTCAGGTTCTTTCTGCAATTGTCTTTTGCCAGAAAGCCTTCAGGTTGCTGCAGTTAGACATCTTCCTGAACGTCTAACATATACTGGTAAGATACGCAAGCAACCTTGTCATACAATACTCTCTATGATCTGGCTTTATTCACAGTCTAAGGAGGAAAATTTCTATTATGGAAGTGCAGATGGCTTGTGACATATCCAGCATGTTTTCAATATTTTTTGCACAACATAGTGAGGATTAAGTGAAAAATCTTGAAATTATACGCACATCTGCGATGAAAATACAAAAAGAAACAAAGTTGGCACGGATCTTATTTCTTTCCCTGTGAACATTAGAAGACGATCTGGCACATCTTTGGAAACCACAGGGACGACAGCATAAACATTTGACAAGTTAATTATTGAACTAGATGTATATTGATTTGTTTCTTCAAAATCTCAAGGTTTATTTTTGGTGCTTTTGGAAATCAATTTGTTTTAGCAGAGTATTTATTTCTCTGGGGTTGTGTTTTATGCATTCATTTGTGTGATATAAATTATTCAAACTGGTTTGCATGATCATTGGGGATTAGAACAATGGAATGTTGCCTTCATATTGCAGATGACGAAGGATCAGAATCTGGGTTGTCTGCATCAATAGAAAGTGAAGAGGAGGAGCCAAATCACCATCTGCTAACAGCATCTAGTGGTGACGTAGCCTTTCTAAAGGAAAACCGGTGCGGCTAGCTCGGGAGCTTCTTTGATTTTATCAGTTCCTGTCGTGTTGTGATTATATTATTCTTTGTTCGGTTTGCATCATATTCGTATATACAATCGCAGCTCACCCTGGTGACAAGCTTATCAAACAGCTCTATCTGGAGAAGCAAAAGGCATATTTAACAGTACAGTGACGTGTGAAGATAATCTGTTCAACCAATGTCCAGCCCCCTTAAAGCTGGAGGGGCTGTCTGAATTCTTATAGAAGTCATTAGATTTCAAAAAGCAAAAATGTTCTGGCTCAGGTGTGCTATGTATTGTGTGTGTTTGTGTACACCCCCGCCTTGTGTGTTTGTGTATGCCCCCCGCTTTTTTGGGGTGTACAAGTGCTAGGCAGGCTACAACTTTACTCCCTAAATCCACAACTCTGTGTAAATTCCCCCCCCCCCCCACATATATATATCTATTGTGATTCCGCTCTAATATGGTTTGGGAGTTGAAGTCAAATAAAACTTTGAAGGTGTGTGGAGGACGAGTTCTGATGGTGATGAGCCTGGGCCTCTGTATAAAGGATGGAACAGTTTGTCTTGTATTTCTGGTGCTTTTCATTGCTGTTTGTGTTTGGAAACATTTGCATGGAGGTTGGGGTCACGGGAAGGCGAGATTTGGACGGGTGAATTAAAGTAACACGCAAAGGTGGCAAGCTAAGTGCATTGGATTCCTTCGCTTTTTCCGGACAACTTCCTTAATAGCTAATCCTTGCTCTCGGCTCACGTAGGACCAAGTGTTATCAAGGAGTGTGTGTGAGAGAGACACAGAGGGTACGGATGGATGAAATTATCTGTGTAGGGGTTTATATGGACAAATTCAAATTCAGGGGAACAAATTAAACTTTTGACTTTTGTAATTTTATTTTATCTTCTGTTTATTCCCGTGTGAATTTTTACGTTTATTTATTGCTATATAATTTAATCCTCACAAATCATTGTAATTTTTAATTTTTATTTATTAAGATTTGGAAAGTATTTATTGACTTTTGATTAAAGGTGCATCTAGTCCCATAGTTTTATTTTCAGTTGTATTAATATTATAATCTTTTTTTTGGGTATATTTAACACACTGATTTTATTTTTCTAACGCATTTAGCACTTCAGGCACTAAAGATCAGATTAGGATCCTAAATATATCAGGGGGGATGATGTCCTTGGAAAATAAAATTAAGATAATGAATGTATCTCTGCCCTTGAATTTTATTGATATGATTAGTTATTTACTTTGAAACCGTAAGCTTTATGACAAACAATAACAAATTGGAGGTAAGATAATTATAATTCCTAGTACAGAAAATCTCAAAAAAATATCAGAAAAAAATTAAAAATTGGCTACATATTAAGGGTTTGATGATAAATATTAAATATTTAAAGTAATTACTCCTTTCAATTTTTCTTATAAGTTTCAAATAACTAATTCACGAATAATAAATAAGTAGTTAAAATTAACTGAAAACAGTAAATACGTTAGAAATATGTATTTTTTAAATATATTTTTATAATAAATGAGAAAAAAGATGAAAGCGAATATATGAGGATATGTGATAAAAGAAAAATAATTAAAGATAATATTGAAAAAATGCCTTAAATGTTGTGACAAACCCAATTTGAAACTTATAAAATGTACTACATTTCTATCTAAATTTGAAACTTATATATAAGATCGGAGTAGCAAGGAGTATAAGAATTAAATGCATACTTTGTTTTCAAAAATTAGTACTTATTAATTAATTTCGCCGTACTTCAAATTTTTAATTCTACATACTTTTATTTATTGTATCGTCTACAACGGAGAGATATGTACAACCACCTCATTATCACAGTAGACGGGAAACTTCCCAAGTCAAGTGAATAAGACACAATATATTAAATCCTCGTGCCACGTTGGTCAATCAGCAGCCACTTGGTCAACCTTGAACCCTACCCTCCTATTCTATTCTATCATCCCCTAATTAATTTTTAATCTTCTTTTTTTGCCCGAAATTAATTTTTAATCTTACACCTAACCTTCCATTATTTATTCATTATCAATTTCTTCCTTAAATATGCATTTTGCGCAAACTCTAGAAGCCATACTTTAAATTAAAACAACTCGAAGGGCATCTTGTTGCCGTTCTTTTTCACGAATTGGCAATTATAAATGTGCCCCCACCTCCAAAGTGTATAACTTTAGTATCTACCTGTGTTTGTTTGGGTCTGCAAGAAACCAAATTCTTACTTGGTCTGCTTTATATATATATATATATATGTACATGTTTTTGTGTATATATATAACCAACCATTTATGTACCAACCTGGAACATTAAACTAGGACTCATTCCAAGTCGTCGTCGTCGTTGTGTTCTTTCCTCCTTCATTTCTCAAACTCACCATGCCTCCATTCATCTTCCTCATCCTCTTCTGGTTTTCAGTCTTCCAAAACTCTGTTCACTTCCTTTCTGCAAATCCCCCTGCTTCAAGTTGCAGTAATGGCGCTCCTCGTATTTCCTATCCTTTTCGTTTGAATCCGCAACAACCTCAGCAGTCCAAGTCGTGCGAGGTTCCCTCTGGTTTCGAGCTGTTCTGTGAAAAGAATCTCACCAAGATTTACTTTCCTTCTTATGGCGATGATTTGGTGGTGAAATCAATTTCCTACCCCACCAAAAGAATCAATCTTCTTGACCCCAGAAACTGTGTCCACCACGTGTTTCTGAATCTCGATCTTTCTCTCACCCCCTTTCGTTACTTCTATGTTCTCAAGGACTACACTTATCTGAACTGTTCGACCAGCCTTTCCCGTCCTTTCATGGAGGTTCCTTGTATGAGTGGATCCGACTTTCATGTCTACACAGTTGACCCTTCCTTGCCTCTGCCTGCTTCTTGTGTAGCAGTCAAAACCGTTGCGGTCCCCTTCGAATATTCCCCTTACCTCGCCGACAACAGTCTCGGTCTCGGATTAACCTGGGACTCACCTCTGCTTCAAGAAACCAGAACAGAGCACACAGGTAAAATAAGTTTCTTTCATTCTTCCAGCAATCTTTGGTTCTTTCAACTCGATAAAGCTTACGTTAGAATCTATACTTCATGATGATATAGTCATTATGTTTGTGTGCAGTTGTAGTTATCTGCGTCTTTGTGATTGTGATGGCGATACTGGTAAGCATAAAGGTTCAGTGGTCAGGGACGAATTCTGGGAGAAAGAAGATCGGTTATTACAGAGCCTGTGAGAATTAGAGCACATAATGGGTAAATTTTTGAATTTTAGTACAGAATATCGTGATCCTAGCGGTGGGAACTCGTAGAAGGATCTTTTTTTTTTGGATATTTCGTGAAGTTTGAGATATATAGCATGTGATGTTGTAGAAGATAAAGAAAGGTTATCTTGTTCCTCTGTAATTGCGAAACAAAAGTGAAGATCTCATGTAGTTTCTTGATGCTTATCTTGTAAGGTATCATGTATCTGACTTGGGAATGTATTTTTGTTCCCATCTATCCTTTTCCTCCCTTTCTCCCAAATCCTTTGAGACATCCTAAAGGAGAAAATCCTGGGAACTCGTGAAAGAGAACATCACAGGTGGGTCCCTCAACGTGACAAGCAAAGTTTAATTTTCGGGTCCAACACGACAGGAAGTTTAAAGTCATACATGGCAATGGTATAGGTAGGAGGTGTATTGGGCAGAATAAAGGAGCAACTTATATGACAATGCTGGCATTTATCGTCATAATCAGAGACTATTAATAGCGAGGAACCATCTTGCTTGACCTCACAAGCTTTTAACGAGAAATTATCTTTCACCCGAACCCAAATTGTCATCAAAAGTACAGGCTTACATTAGATATCAAATGTGAACATTTTTTTAATGAAAACTTTGAACATGAATTGGTCGTATTGTAAAAGACTAGCATTTTCTGAACCCAATCTTTACTGAGGAGAGTAATATGGGAAGCTCCGACTTCAATTGTACAGCGTACAAAATGGGGTATCATGATCAGGAGCCGTGTGGAACATGAGACAAAGTGGGTTGGTCCACAATATTTTGGGTTAGAATTTTCTTAGCCCTGCCTAATAATTGACCCTTTTGTTTTGAATATAAATGCGCGTCTACGCATACCATTTTTTTTTATAATGACAAGTCAATGTTGGAATTCACATTGAGAGAAGTAGTTCGAATCTATATTGAGAAAGGTATTTTTATTTAATACCCAATAATAGCATCTTAAACAGAATTGTCTCAAATTGGATAATGCTATGTTTAACCCAAAAAAAAAAACTTATTAACTTCACATATATTAGGAAAACACTTAAAAGTGGTCAAGTGTTATTGGAATAGAAGACTTGATGCACACAACCTATGCTTCCTTCTTTGATTTTGAGTGGGTCATATGTAAAGACAAAATCCCCTGGAGTAGTGCTTTTAGTTTGCAACCTTCATTTTATAATAGAATATGTTTTGCTTGAAATATTAATTTTTTTACCTGTATTTTTATTTTAACTATTAAACTTTCTAATTAATTAATCAAATTCTTCTAAGTAATCACTTTCATTAAGAGTGATATTTTAAAAGAAATAAGTGATGTTTAGGTAATTTTATTATTTTATGTAAAATTATTATTAAATGTCTAAGAATTGGAGAGAATATTATTCTCGGCGGCTTCCATGGACTATTACTTTTAGTTTCCAGCCTTCATCTTCATTGATGAATAAGGTTAATAAAATCTTGAGTATCTCAAATTTGTCTTTATTTTGGTTTTAATCTCTTAAATTTTGAATCATAGATTTAGATCTCTCAAAATAAAAATGATCCAAATTTTTATTAAATTATAGAGATTAGTATTTTGAATGAAAAAAAAATTAAAAGACCAAAATTAAAATGGGAACAGACTTTTTAAAAAATAAAAATAAAAACTGTATATTTACTAATCATAAAAGAACAAGGGAAAATTCCAAAAAATAATTGTTGAATTTTAAAATTCTAAATCAGTATTAGTTATTACACTCATAAAAAAAAACTACATTAAAAAAGCAAATGATAATATATTTTTATAATAATTCATAATTTGAAATTTTAAAATTTAACAGTCATTTTTTTTAGTTTTTAATGAAATGTGATCAAAATGCAATATAATTTTCTGTCATCTGATCTGATAATTTGACAAACTCATCAGCCATAAAATAATTCTCTTGGGGGTTGAGACCAAAAGTTGTACATATTTTGATGTTTTATTAAATCATAATTGGCGTCATCGTTTCATAGTGATATCGCAGGGAAAATTAAAAATGTCGGGTTGTGCATTGCTCGGCCACCTACAAAACAACAGACGAGGTATACAATGTAATTTCGCGAGGGCCCAAATTGTTCTGGAAGACTGGAAGTTGGATTGGAGAAGACACTCACCAGCTTCCTACTGATGGGGATGGCTCCTCCATCATCATCCTTCTTCTTCATCCTCATGCTGGTCTTCATCTCTGTTCCACTAACCAATTCGATACCCTTTATTGTTCTTCATGGTAATTGCTTGACCTTAGTTTTTCCTTCTTGTTTCTATAATCAATTAGATTCCCCCTTTTTCTTATTGTCGATCTGTTTCTGGTACTCGTAATTTCTGGTCTGATTTTCATTCGTTAACTGCCCGCATCTGCCGGAAGAGCAACAGTGGGGTTTCTGAGTTCTTCCACTTTTGACTGTCATCGGACGAATTTTCCTATGCTCGGTTCATTCAGCTCAATTTCAGTGGCATTTTCGTTTTTGTTCATGGTGGTCAACAATATATGTAACTGTCTTTGACTGACAATATAATATTTATGAAAGTTTTGTGCCTTGTCTGCACTTTTTAAGTTTTAACTATTTTTTATTGGCGGGAAAACTAAGTCTAGATTAGCAGAAGAAATATTGAGGAGTTCCTATATGGTTCCCATCTCACTCATATCGACCCTTTCGAAGTTTATAGTTGCAAAATCTTTTGTTGTCAATATGCAGTTTACAAATTGATTATTTACTTCTATGTTATTTGTTGGTGGTGTTTAATCGACTGAAAGAGGAATTATGCTTGAGACTATCTGAAGGCTTTCTTGTAGGGTGAATAGTAAAAAGCTATATATGCATGCAGAATTTTTAAAACTCAAAGCTCTTCAGGTCTGTTACTCAAGCTGCAGCGGCTTTTAGTAATTGTGTTGTCCATTTCGCTGGAATTTTAAACAAGTTTGTACACATAGATGAAGTGCATGATCTTTGTATCTAAGGAAAAATGAAGTGTATGATCTATCTATTATTGTAACAAAAAGAGGGATTGGTTAGGGAGTTGGGTAGTTATAAGTGTTTGAGCCAGTTTCTATAAATGAGGCAAGGCAGTGTACCGCGAGTTTGTTCTTGTATGAGTGATGATTGAGTAATAAGACAACTCTATTCTCCGAATCTCTCTCTCGCTCTCTTGTCTTTCTTGCTCTCTCTCTTTCTCTCCCATTCTCTCTCTGATTATCTTCTTTCCTCTCTCTTTCCCAATTACGTTCTACGTCAGTGTATCATTGAATAGATACCTGCCTGCTTCACATAATTTAGTTCTATGATAACTATTTTGTAACTGAGTCCCATGAACTCCATTCTTAGTTTCTTTATCTTGGTTTACACTTTAATATGCTTAATTTGGAGAGGTTGCTGTTTGAATTTAGTTCTGTCCATACTATATGAAGGATTATACATCGTCATTGCATTCACACACTGCCTATAGTTTTATACAGATCCTATTTCTGAAGATATTCTAGATGGGTAAATTACTAATATAGTAGATTTAGCTGGCTAACATGTTGTCAAACCCAAGTCTTGAACCTTTTGGTTCTTTGAGTGCATTACTTGGTTATACTTGTAATTTTCTTTAATTCTCCATAGTTTTAGTTTTAGCAACTTGAGACTTATATCACAATGATCTGTGCTGCAGGTATTGGAGATCAGTGCTCCAACCATGGGGTGGCACAATTTACTGAACTACTGTCCAAATACTCTGGTGCTAAAGGATATTGCTTGTATGCTTGCATGTCTTTTATTTTCATTAACTGCTATGCTATAGAGGAACTGAGTTTGAAATATGCTTGGTTCCTTTTAGTTCTCCTTGATTGAATTGCAAGAGTCCAACATAATTATCTTCCCCTAGCCAGGGTCCCTTTGTTATAATCTTGATCTTATAGAGTGTGAGGTTGAATTTTATCATTTCTAATGAGGTTTGCCTTATTGGTCCAGAGAGGTTGGTGATGGAACATGGGATTCTTGGTTTATGCCTCTGCAGGAGCAGGTAAGAGATCAGTCCAAAGAGGAACTGCTGAATGGAAGTATTTCTCGTATTGATTATCCATAATTTGATTTTTTTTTTGTTTTGTTTAACATTTGTGCAGACTGATATGTGTTGCAAAAAGGTGATAAAGATATGCTGGAGTAGTATGGTAACTTTTGTACCTGGCTTTCATGGTTAATCACACCTCTGAATACTTTGTTCCCCACCATGTTCAGGTGAAGGAAAAGAAAGAATTGAGTGAAGGATACAACATTGTTGGGCTCTCTCAGGTGATGTACGAGGATTAGGATTTCCTTACTTTGCCTTTGTTTTTATGTTGTATTCAATAATAGTTTGATACATTGGTAAATTGCACCGGTCACATCACCACATTGCTCCAATGATTTCAACAAATTGTCTAGATGCCTTAGGCATTAGCAGAGAAACTATGTTGCCGAGGTCTGTTTATTACTGATAAATTCATATAAACTAGTTTTCTTGGGTAGTTGACTAAATCGTCTAAATTACAACTGTGATTGAGTAATTTAATTCAGTCACCAGTGAGCTTCATCATTGAATGATCTTTTGAACATCAAGTCATGGAGACCTTGGTTTTTGTAAAGATATGTATTACCTTTCGTAAGGGATTTTATTTCAACTAGCTAACTTCCATGGATCTCACATAATTTTCTTTCCTAACAGTTTAACCTCAATCT